CAGCTCCAACAGAGGTGCCAGGCTGAGCAGGGACAGCAGGCCCAGCCCAGGAGGCCGTGGCTGCAGGTACCTGATCAGCTCTGTGGAAATGGTCACGGGCGCGGTCCTGCTCTCGTGTCCGGTTCCGTCCCGGATCTGGCAAAGAGCGAGCGCGATCAGAACTGAGGGGCTGCGGGACAACAGGCCAGAGAACACGGCCCAGCCCTGCACTCCACAGGCAGGGCCAGCCCCGGCATACCCACTGCATGGAGCTGCCGGGGGATCAGCTTCAGGTCCTCCTCCCTTTCCTGGGACATGTCCACAGGAGATGGGATGGGAAGAGGCCCAGTCAGGTGCAGCCACCAGCCCTGTGGCCCAGCTCTGCCACTCACCCTCCTGCAGGGGCTGGGATTGCTCCACCTCCTCAGGGTGCTCTGCTGGGGCAGTCCCAGGGCTTTCCTCCTCCTCCTTTTCCACCCACGCCAGCTTGGGAACCCTGGGGGGTCTCCGCTCCAAGCTTCTGACTGTCTTTATGTCTGCCTGCAGGAGACATGGCATGGAAAAGCTCTGGGTCACCTAAGAAATACCTTAAAGGCACCTTCAACAAAGGAGTCTTGGGAATGCTCTGGGTCATCAAGTCCCACAGTCTGGCCTGCAGGGGACATGAGGCAGTTCAAGGACTGTCAGAGGGAGCAACTCGCCCACTTTCCCCAGGAAATGATTCCCTTCCCACCACACTGTGCTGGCCTCAAAGGCTGAAGGGGACCAGCAGACCCAGCTTGAGGGGCCACAAAATCCCTTCTCGAAGGCTTCTTACTTGACTAAAGACAACTCCTTCATCAAGAAAGGCCGGACTGGGAGCATTGGGCAGATGCTGAATGGGTGTGATGTCAGTATCTGCGATGCCCTCAGTCCCTGGGGCATCAGCCTTGGTCTTGAGCTCGGTTGGGCTGGGCTCAGGCTGTGCCATCGCCTTGGTTGGTGACATCCGGGCCTTTCTACGCCGAACAGGCTTGGATTTCCGCACCCTCTGCAGGAGAACAAAGGTCAGGGAGGAGAGAGATGTGCCATGGACAGCTCCAACAGAGGTGCCAGGCTGAGCAGGGACAGCAGGCCCAGCCCAGGAGGCCGTGGCTGCAGGTACCTGATCAGCTCTGTGGAAATGGTCATGGGCGCGGTCCTCCTCTCGTGTCTGGTCTCGTCCTGGATGTGGCAAAGAGCGAGCGCAGACAGAGCTGAGGGGCTGCGGGACAGGCCAGAGAACACGGCCCAGCCCTGCACTCCACAGGCAGGGCCAGCCCTGGCATTCCCAGTGCATGGAGTTGCTGGGGGAACAGTCCTGGGCCATCTTTCCCCCTCCCTTTCCTGGGACATGTCCACAGGAGATGGGATGGGATGAGGCCCATCTGGGTGCAGCCACCAGCCCTGTGGCCCAGCTCTGCCACTCACCTTCCTGCAGGGGCTGGGACTGCTCCACCTCCTCAGGGTGCTCTGCTGGGGTAGCCACAGGGCTTTCCTCCTCCTCCTTTTCCACCCACGCCAGCTTGGGAACCCTGGGGGGTCTCCGCTCCATGTCACTGTTGGGCTCCAAGTCTACCTGCAGGAGAGATGGCACGGAAAAGCTCTGAGTCACCATGTCCTGCAGAAGTGCCTTGAAGGCTCCTGCAACACAAAAGCCTTAAGAATGCTCTGGGTCATCAAGTCCCACAGTCTGGCCTAGAGGGAACATGGGGCAGTTGGAGAGTTGCCAGAAGGAACAACCTGCCCACTTTCCCCAGGAAGTGCTTCCTTTCCCACCACACTGTGTGGGCCTCAAAGGCTGAGGGGCCCAGCAGACCCAGCTTGAGGGCCCACACAGTCCCTGCCCACAGGCTGCTTACTTGAGCAGAGACAACTCCTTCATCAACAAAGGCCAAACTGGGAACATCGGGCAGGCTCTGAATGGGTGTCTTGTCAGTGTCTGCGATGCCCTCAGTCGTTGCAGTGTCAGCCTTGGTCTTCAGCTCATTTGGGCTGGGCTCAGGCTGTGCCATGACCTTAGTTATTGAGGTCCTGGCCTTTCTTCGCTTAACGGGCTTGGATTTCTGCTCTCTCTGCAGGAGAACAAAGGGCAGGGAAGAGAGAGATGTCCCATGGACAGCTCCGACAGCGGTGCCAGGCTGAGCAGGGACAGCAGGCCCAGCCCAGTAGGCCGTGGCTGCAGGTACCTGATCAGCTCTGTGGAAATGGTCACGGGCGCGGTCCTGCTCCTGTGTCCAGTCCCGGCCTGGATCTGGCAAAGAGCGAGCACGGTCAAAGCTGAGGGGCTGCGGGACAGGCCAGAGAGCACAGCACAGCCCTGCACTCCACAGGCAGGGCCAGCCCTGGCATTCCCAGTGCATGGATCAGCCATGGGCCCTCTTCCCCCCTCCCTTTCCCTGGCCATGTCTACAGGAGATGGGATGAGAAGAAGCCCATCTGGCTGCAGCCACCAGCCCTGTGGCCCAGCTCTGCTACTCACCCTCCTGCAGGGGCTTGGACTGCTCCACCTCTTCAGGTTGCTCTGCTGGTGTAGACACAAGGCCTTCCTCCTCCTTCACCAAGGTCACCTTGGGCATGCTGGGGGGTCTCTGCTCCATGCCTCTGTTAGGCTTCAAGGCTACCTGCAGGAGAGATGGCATGGAAAAGCTCTGGGTCACCATGTCCTGTAGAAGAGCCTTGAAGGCTCCTGCAACAGAGGAGCCTTGGGAATGCTCTGGGTCATCAAGTCCCACAGTCTGGCCTGGAGGGGACATGGGGCAGTTGGACAGATGCCAAAGGGAGCAACGTGCCCACTATCCCCCAAGGTGCTTCCCTTCCCACCACACTGTGCCAGCCTCAAAGGCTGAGGAGGCCCAGCAGACCCAGCTTGAGGACTCACACAATCCCTGCCCACAGGCTGCTTACTTGAGCAGAGACAACTCTGTTCTCAGGAACACCCAAACTGGGAGCATCGGGCAGGCGCTGAATGGGTGTTATGTCAGTGTCTGCGATGCTCTCTGTCCCGGGGGTGACAGCCTTGGCCTTGAGCTTGGTCAGGTTGGGCTCAGGCTGTGCCATGACCTTGGCTGGTGAGGCACTGGTCTTTCTATGCTGAACAGGATTGGATTTCTGCCCTCTCTGCAGGAGAACAAAGGGCAGGGAAGAGAGGGATGTCCCATGGTGAGCTCCAACAGAGGTGCCAGGCTGAGCAGGGACAGCAGGCCCAGCCCAGGAGGCCGTGGCTGCAGGTACCTGTGCTGCCCTGCGGAAGCAGCCATGGGCGTGGTCCTGCTCTCGTGTCCAGTCCCGTCCTGGATGTGGCAAAGAGTGAGTGCAGTCAGAGCTGAGGGGCTGCGGGACAGGCCGGAGAACACGGCCCAGCCCTGCATTCCACAGGTAGGGCCAGCCCCAGCATGCCCAGTGCATGGAGCTGCAAGAGGAGCAGTCCTAGGCCCTCTTCCCCCCTCTCTTTACCTGGCCATGTCCACAGGAAATGGGATGGGATGGGATGAGGCCCATCTGGCTGCAGCCACCAGTCCTGTGGCCCAGCTCTGCCACTCACCTTCCTGCAGGGGCTGGAACTGCTCCACCTCCTCAAGGTGGTGTGCCAGGGGTACTCCAGGGCTTTCCTTCTCCTTCTTCACCCACACCAGCTTCGGCACCCTGGGGGGTCTCCGCTCCATGCCTCTGTCTGGCTCCATGGCTACCTGCAGGAGACATGGCACAGAAAAGCTCTGGGTTACCTAAGAAGTATGTTGAAGGCACCTGCGACAAAGGAGCCTTGGGAATGCTCTGGGTCATCAAGTCCCACAGTCTGGCCTGGAGGGGACATGGGGAAGTTCAGGAGCTGCCAGAAGGAGCAACTTGCCCACTTTCACCCAAGAAGTGTTTCCCTTCCCACCACACTGTGCTGGCCTCAAAGGTTGAGGGGGCCCAGCAGACCCAGCTTGAGGGCCCACACAATCCCTGCCCACAGGCTGCTTACTTCCACAGAGATAACTCCTTCGTCAAGAACCTCCAGACTGAGAGCATTGGGCAGGCACTGAATGGGTGTCCTGTCAGTGTCTGCGATGCCCTTAGCCATTGCACCATCAGCCTCTGTGGTGAGCTCAGGCAGCGCCGTGTTGGATTTTGTCCTGTCATCGGTCACCGCGCTGTCACAGTTTGCTGTGCCGTCGGTCAAGGCGGTGCCGACTTCAGGGTGCGCCTTGAGCTCACTCGGCGTGGGGTCAGGCTGTGCCGTGACCTCGGCTGGTGTGATCCTGTACTGTCCACGCCGAACATCCACAAATTTCAGAAAGGCCTGCAGAAGAACGGAGAGCAGGGATGAGAGGGATGTGCCATGGTGAGCTCCGACAGCATTGCCAGGCTGAGCAGGGACAGCAGGCCCAGCCCAGGAGGTCGTGGCTGCAGGTACCTGTGCTGCCCTGCAGAAGCGTCCATGGGTGCGGTCCTGTTCTTGTGTCCGGTCCCGGCCTGGATCTGGCAAAGAGCGAGCGCGGTCAGAGCTGAGGGGCTGTGGGACAGACCGGAGTACACGGCCCAGCCCTGCGCTCCACAGGCAGGGCCGGCCCCAGCATGCCCAGTGCATGGAGCTGC